GGGTTTTTTACGGTTGGCATAGGATGATCAGCCACATATAGTTTATAAAGTAGAGAGAGCAGGAAGAGTCAGACTGCTGAGATCGAACCATTAGAGTGGAGCGTGAAGCGCAGACTTCTGCAGATAGATGCATTTCTGCACAAGCACAGAAGTTATTTTCTCATACCCTGCTGCTGCCGCCATTGTCCATCTTTGCTCCTGCAGCATGTGTAATGCTGGGTGGCAGAAAACAAAACAGGAAGCAGCAGCACGGATAATACTGCTTAAATTGTCTAACAGATTACAGCAAAATAATGCATTTTAAACTTCTGACGACTACCCACTATTTTGTATTTAGTCTCGTCTCGGTCACGAAAACTCAAAGTTATGGCTCGTCATCTTTTAATCATCAAAGATCTACGTTTAGCTCGTCAGTTTTCGTTATTGTCATAAAAAAAAGGAGCATTAACAAAATGATTTTGTCATCCTCATCGTTGACAAAAACATCACTGATAGCAGTTGTGTTTGTTGACTAATCAACCTTTTGGGTTCATAAACAAAACTATCTGTCATTAGATGCTTTCTGTAAACGATGCATCAGTTTGTACTGCCCTTGCAGATGTTTTAGACCTAATTTGTTGACAGTAGATGTATTAATTCGGATTGTCTACTAAAAGTCTACTGATAATGTGATCACACCACTGTGGTTTGTGGTTGCTGTCTGTGATTTTGGTTGAATAAGCAGAAATATTGTTTAAATATCTAAAGAGTTGACTGGTTAAAGGGGATTAGAAACACATCAGTGGAAATAAGGTGCTTTTTAGAGTTTTTAAACAGTAGTATCTGATTAAATGTAATTCTGATAAAAATTTCAGCACCAAAAATTTTAACTATAAATAATAATAAACTGATATTCAGTGGTTAAAAGCGTACATAAAAAATGGGTTCTTCACAGATATAATTGCAACTAGTTTACAAATAATATTGACCCAAAGCTGTAGAAAACTTTTGGGTTCTTCCTAATGATCTGTTTTCTTCTCATCAGACTCTCTCCCCAGCCTTATGTCATGGCCAATGGAGTCATTATGTCAAGCCCCTCCAATAGATATCCCCTGAAGGCACAGCTACAGATCAATGGTAAGTTTTAAAACTTTTCTTGTGATTGTCGTGGTGGTTTTCCTATTTAGCAGGTTCAGTTTTAAGATTTTTGTTGGTCAGTAATGCATGAAGCTATAGGAAGGTTTAAATGTGACTTTTCACAAATAGTGGGTCTGAAATCCCCTTCAGACTAAAGCTGTTCACAAGAAATGTTTCTAAAGGAATATGTACAGTCTTCTTTATTGTCATTGATTCCAGCGTGCAGGTATTTATGTCTTCAGATACGTCTTTATGTCTATATGGCAGGTCTTACTCTATACACACAGATCAAAATGAGACGTAGAATGGTTTCTGTGAGCGTAATATAATCTTTAGTCTGATGGCTTTTAACTAAATTTCAGTTTTTTCAAAATACTTTTTCTTTACATTTTGAAAGTTATCTTTGAAAGGTAATGTCTTCCTCACTTAAATTGTATGCCTTTTATATTAGAGGTATAGTGGAGGATGTTCTTTTTCCATGTGGATCATCAAAATAAGTGGTCCTCCTAATTGTCAATCATTCTGGTGATAAGACAGTCCTACTTGCTCGTCCCTCATTTTTTCTGTGCATGTGCACATTAAAGTGTGGTGAGCTATGGTTTCAGCCAGTCATTGAAGCAAGCCTTTTTCATTGCGGTGGAAAAATTGCAAATCTTCTTTTGGAAAGTAAGCTTGTATCAGCGATACAAACAGCAACCTGTAAACAGAGCGTGCACGAGGAGAAATGGGCTCGTGCATGCTCTCACACACATTTACTAGGTGTTCCCTCTCACAAGCAGATACAGGGTGGTGCATGTGCATTTTTATTTTTTTTTTAAGTGGAGAGGGCGGTTCTTTTTCAGAGATTAGGGAAAGTCCTCCTATATACCTTTAACTTGTGTTTTCTACTATGAAGTGTTGCTCAATAACATTGACTTCTGTGACATGTCATATTTGTACCTAGTGTATAAACCAGCACAAAATCCATGGCTTACCTATAAGAATGCACAATATATAGCTGTAACATTGATATCAGCCAATATTGGTCCTGTTTAAATATATTGTTATCAGCCCATATGTAAAACTGGGCCAGTAACCATCCCTTCCTACCTCTCCTTCCTTAACTGGCAGTAATAGTGATGAAGTGCAGGATTGTGAGTGTTTAACTGAAGCTGAAAAGCAAGATCAGCATTGTGGTCATATATATATATATATATATAGAATATATAAAATTTGCACATGTGATTTACTGTCCATAATGACAATATTAATATAGGATATGCATACATGTATGACACCAGTTTTTGATATTGTGTCTCCCTAATTACTTATTATAATATTTTCTACAATTTGATCAATTTGGATCGTAAGTCATAAATGAGTCAACATGATTCTGGTGTTCACTGAAATGGATTCTTCCTCATGACTGAATGCACACTGAACAATTTTATACTCTTTATTACGATGTCATGTTCCTCCCATAGAAGATAAATTTATTTGAATTTTTTCCCATATCTGTGCTAGTGGGTTCCCTAAAGGTAGCGATTGCAATTAAGATTTTACACCGGCTTTGCTGACTTAAGCTTGTTGGAAAACCTGATTCATGTTACACTTTATATGACTTACTGGCTGTGTTGTATTTTTACCTACTGTACAAGCTTTGCCTCTACTGTATGTTCCAGCTCCACCTTTTATGTAATGCAGCCAGCTTTTTACAATAGTGGGAATGAATATGTGGCTCAAATGCTGCTTAGTGGCAGGATTAGTCGTCTTGCAGTAAAAAAGATTGTGGTTTTTCAGCTTTGCCTTATCACGTACTGATGTGCATTTCCTCCATAGCAACATTTTTTATAAGTTTGAGTCCCACTCTTTCATAGTTCCTTTTTCAACTGTGTGAATGATGGGTAATTTTTATCCTTTTTTAATTCCCATATCCGGCCTGCTATAAAGCCACTTCTGTCTGTTTCAGTGCTATCTGCGAAATTAAGAGAAAACAAGAAGAACTGGCTTGGCCCCAGTCCTTATGTGGAAGTGACAGTCGATGGCCAGTCCAAGAAAACGGAGAAATGCAACAACACTCACACCCCCAAATGGAAGCAGTCACTCACTGTGTAAGTCAGAATAACTAAGGACTCATTTGAAGTTTTCTTGTTTGTTTTGTTTTCTGTAAAAGCACAGAATACCCAGGATTCAATGAGCCTTGGTAGAGATCTTACTGTACCAATCTGGTGTTCTGAAAAACAAAAAAAACAAAAAGAGATGTGGGCTAAAAACAAGGCGGGAAATGTGTAAATGTTGTATTAAACTATTTTTAATTTTGACTTCAGCACAAATTTTTCAGTTATAAGGTAACATCCCCTTCTACTGCTTGTTGACAGTTGGATCATCAATGTTCCAGCGGCTCCAGGCTAATCTATTGTTCATAAATGAACTATGCACAAAATGAACATAAAATGCTCATATGACTGTTTTGCTTTTAAATTGCTCCACACATAAGCAGTTTCTAAAGACATTTCCTGTTCCATCTTTAATTTTAGGGTTTGTATATCGCCTTAAAAGTAAACAAGCAGTCAACTAAACAAACTCCATTTTAGTACTCACAGAGTCTGAAGTACATAACCAATTTTCTTGGTAACTATTCATTACATTTAGAAGGTCATTAAATAGCCTTTTACATGTGTGTATTTTACTTTTAATATTTTTCCTGTTTTTTTTAAGTGGATGTGACCAAACAACAAAATCCCAGCATGTACCTTCACCTGTGTACTTATAATTTGGTTTGTGAAAGTCAAATATTGTGATGTGGGGCGACAGTGGCATCTGTTGTAGAAGTTTGCCCTGAAATCGAAGGCTCGACCGTTCAAGCCCCGGCTTTCAGGGTCGTTGTGTTCTTGGGCAAGACACTTCACCTGCTTGTCTACTGATGGTGGTCAATGGGCGCGGTGGCGCCAGTTTTTGGGAGCCTTTCTTCTGTCAGTGAGCCCCAGGACAGCTGTGGCTACAATGTAGCTTGCCTCATCAGTGTGTGCGTGAATGGTGAATCCCTGAATGTAGTGTGTAAAGCACTTTGGTCAAGTCTCGTGACTTGAAAAGAGCTATATCAGTACAGGCCATTTACGATTTAACGTTGCTTTGAAGTAACAAAATATTCCTCCATTATACTTAACCTGCATTAGGTAAACAAACATTTTCTCAATAAAACTTGATTAATTTGAAAGACCTTGCATTCCTTCCTTCCTTCCTTCCTTCCTTCCTTCCTTCCTTCCTTCCTTCCTTCCTTCCTTCCTTCCTTTTAATTCTTCCAAGTATAGAAATATTTTCCATAAATATATGCTGAACCTCATATTTATCTTTTTGAATATCAGCTTAATAGATTTAAACAACACAGTATAATGGAGACAGGGTTCAGTTTGTTAATGTTGTTAATAGAGACCTTGTTTCAAGCTTCAATAAAATTGTTCCTCTATCATTTCCACCACATTTTTTCATGTGTTTACAAAGGGAAGGTCATTAGAGTTATATATTCAAAGTGTCTTTTTATGGTGCTGGTCAAACAGCTAGAAGCAGTTACACTCTCTGTCCGTTAATGGCCTTTATTAGAAAGAGGAAATTCTAGCTAAACCATTTTTTAGTTGGAAAAATATTAAAGCACCTACTTGGGATTTCAACTAAGAATATTTTCAAAGATAATTGAGGAAATGATGTAAGGCCCAAGAGGGCTTTCATGTGTCAGATGGTCAATGGCAGAAGTTTGGTTTCTGTCATTTCACTTCTACAATTATTGAAACGTTTTGTCTCAACAGGATCGTCACTCCCTTCAGCAAACTAATGTTTCGTGTTTGGAGCTACCAGACGTTGAAGTCAGACTTGTTTTTAGGCCAGGCTAAGCTGCACATCAGTGAAACACTAAAGGCCAACAACATGAAAAGTAAGTAGTTGAAAGGCAGATGGCTGTAAAATCATTTAGCATCCTGCAGTTATATGGACATTAAAACACAACATGTTACTAACTATAAGCTACTTTTGGTTGCCAGTCGTTATTTTGAGGAGCACCAAGCTTTGTTGAAAGGAGAGAAAACTAACTGTTAATTTTTACAGTTGAGGAAATGCAAAGCAATAAAATACCTTTAAGAGGAACTCCACCCTAGATTTTTAGCTACAGCTACAGTTATATTATCAGAGAGGTAATGGAGGTATTTCCATTCCTCCATTCAGTGTCCTGAAGGACTTAGATGTTCCCCTGGTTCACCATCACCTGGAACAGACAAAACTTTCTTTATCTGTTCTCTGCAGAGCTAGTTATCAATACACCTTTTAGTTATTAGGTCAAGTTAGAGCAAAAATACATCTAAGACATGTAGTACATTTAGACACTGGCTCACAAGTAAGCATACTTGAGAAAAAGTGGCGGAGCCAAAGTCCAGTTCTATATCTCCATGAGGTTCTTTGGCAGGAGGTAAAAAGTGTTCTATATGTGTTCTCTACCTAACCAGAGTGACCTTTGGCTGTTATGCAAAGAACCAGAGAAAAAAATATCAGTGATGAAATTTTAAAATTGGTGGAAACCAACAGTAAAATACCTGAAACTAATCCAGCAAAGGAAAAGCAAGCAATAAAATCACTTTGACGAAATGGAAATACATTTGAATTGATTACAGGTGTGTTTTCACTGCTTTCCACTTTGTCTTATGACTTAATCATCTCCAATGTATTTGCTTTGGATCATTTATGTTGGAGATTTCTGGTATTCTGCCTCATTTAATCTCTTCTAGCAGAGCTAAAGAAGGGGAACCTGGGATAAAATGTGTATGTTGATTGATGTTCCATGTCAAAGCAAAAAATTCACATCTGTCAAAATAACTTTTTAGTCCTGATCATTCGTCAATTGTATTTTAGTAATGAGCTTCTTATTCAGCGGGAGCAGATGCAGCTCAATACTCCCTGTTTTCTTGTTCCTCATGTATTTGGATGATTTATAATGTTTTGTTGGACCCTAATGTCACTCCTTAGCATGTTACCTCTTTACAGTTTCTAAGGTGGTACAGACCCTCCAGTTGTACGCTGACAGAGAGCAAACAGATTGGGTGGGAGACCTGTGTGTCGTTCTGGATGGCATGACAGTGGACCCTGAAATGTTCGCCAAAGCAGAGGCAGACGGTCAAAGTGAGTAAAAATGGACTTTATATCTACAGTAAACCTCTTCTGTATACATTTGAACAAGTGTTCTACTTCTTGTTTGTTAAATATTGTAGTTTTTGATTAGTGTTGCACCGACACCGATATCAGTATCGGGCAGGGCATCCAATGCTGCACTAAAAGGGTGGCATCAGTATCGGCGAGTACCGACAAATAGGGCACCGATACCATTTTGAGAGCCAAAAGTTTATTCAACTAACTGATATTTATTGACACTGATATTTATTGAACATCCCTTAAGTTAAAGTACATAATTATTTCAACAGATCTTTGTCGTCTTTTTGGTCAGCTTTTCTTGTGTGTTTGTTGTTTTAGGTACATATAATGGAGGAGCATCTCACTTTAATGGGGATCCCACATTGAGGTAGAGTTAACATTTTCAATTAACATCTCATTATTAACCGTTTCTAGATTTACTGCATCCTTTGGTTTTCTGCTGTTTTTTAAAATATATTTTTGTTTATTTCTGGACAGGCCAAATCGAGACAGCTTTCCAACTGTTGCCAGTGTGGAGCACAGAGTCTCTCCCAGCCCTCAGAGGACAGCAAACAGCAGAGGTTCTCCATCATTGGGCGGGAAGCCGTTTCGACCACCGAGACCATCCAGGCCTCCTCCCCCAACTCCTCGCAGACCAACTTCTTCACCAGGTACGACACCAAACCTTCTTAGGGAAGCACCAATGAAATGTGAGGATTGAATGAAGATTTGGAAGCAATTTCTCGCATGGAATAGGCTTCATTTCTAAGAACAAGAATAGACTGTCGAGTTTCAGATTAAAGTTCTCTTTTTCTGGCCATTTTGAGCGTTTAATTGACTTCTGAGCCAATGAGCAAACACATTGTACCATTAGAACACTGGCATGATAGTTGCTGGAAATGAGTCTTTATACAACTATGTAGATATTGCACCAAAAACCAGACATTTGCAGGTAGAATAGTCATTTACCACATTAGCAATGTATAGAGTGTATTTCTTTAAAATTAAGACTAGTTTAAAGTTACAGTATCTTCATTGAAAAGTACAGTACTTTTCCTTCAAAAATAAGGACATTTCAATGTGACCCCAAACTTTGAACGGTAGTGTACATAGAGAAGAAGTGTCCAGTGTTACTCATGGTCTTATGAAACATATTTTGAATGGTAAAGTTGGTTTAGACATACGTTTTCTGACTTTTGTATTATAGTACAAGCTCCCTGTATCCTAATTTTCCCTCAGCATCTTCTGGAAATGGCTCCGCTCCTACAGAGGCTAGTGAGGGCCCTGCATCTGCTCCAGACTCCAGTCCTTCAACATCCTCCACACCGGGAGCTGCAGAAACCAGCAACACCACACCTTCCCTCCCTCCCAGAGTACCCTCCAACAATGGACCATTACCCCCTGGGTTAGCTCTCCTTTTGTAATCGTCACAGAGCTGAGAGTTGTTAACACAAACACAGAGGGAACTGGAAGCTTTATCGGCAGAAAATACAGAAAGAGAGGAATTAATGAGTCACTCATGGAAAAGAGTGTCAGGAAATGTGTCGCTGCTTTTTAGCCGAACAAACCCAAGAACAATGTTCCACTTTGTGCTCATGATTCATTCTTAAAGCCATCTCGAGTTCAATGTTTTCACTAGGAGATTGTAGAACACAAAATACCATGTACTGACATAGAAAAGTAACAATTTACTTCTTTTTTATTGAAGCAAAGACTTTTAGAATGAACTGTTACACATTTGATTTCAATTAACATTAAATTACACTTAATGATTTTTTATTAGATTCTGTTTTGTATCTTTTATTTTGTATTTATTATTGTATTTATCCCATCTCGGTGTTATCTAGATGGGAGCGGAGGGTGGATCAGAATGGCAGGGTGTATTATGTGGATCACATTGGAAAGAAAACAACATGGGAACCACCCGAATCACTTCCTCCAGGGTAAATCTTCTGTTTCTGATGATTTTCCAAAGAAGCCTCAGTCTTTTATTTTTTAATGTGGGATCCCTTCAAAATGGGCTCGTTTATAGATTGTAGAAAAATCACAAATAAAGATGTAATTCTTCCTGACAAACTCATTATTGGCTTATACATGAATATGTA